AAGATGCTGTTTCAGTCAAAATCCAAAGAGGCATTGCAAGCAGGAAAAGAGCAGGACGATGGCTCTGGTCCCTGCTTTCAAATCTGTGGTTCTGTATTGGGTTTTATTTTGAGAACTTGGTCTCCTTTGGCTTTGCAAGTGAATGAAGGGGCTTTTCAGACATGGGAGTGTGTTCTGAGGATGTGGGTGTGGCACAGGGTGTGGCCCCAAGATATCCCCAGTTGCAGTTTGTTTGGAATCTTCCTTGATACAAAAAAAACTTGGGTACAAAAGCAGCAAATTTCTCCTTCTATTCTGAAGAACATGGGAAACACTACTGGCTTGTAGCCAAAGAACTGGCTGGGATTTAGGTAACCAGTTTAGAAAATTAATGTCTGAGTATATGAATTGATGAAGCCTACAGAAAATTATTCAGAGGCTCTAAAATAAATGATGCTTTGAATGGATTTGGTGAGCTCTGTCACTTTTATTTAGCTCTAATACTGTTGTAGGTGTGTGTAGGAAAGTAAAAAAACCTGATTATGAGCAGCTTGCTGACAGTCACTGTCACTGCCTTAGCTTTCATTTTGCTGATTTTTATGCTGAAAAATACAGACAATTATGGTTTACCACACTCATGAGCTCTTTGTGCCATGGCCAGCAACATGAGTTGCTCCAAGCCCCGTCCTACCTGGCCTTGGGCACTTCCAGGGATGGGGCAGCCACAGCTTCTCTGGGCAAGCTGTGCCAGGGCCTGCCCACCCTCCCAGGGAAGGATTTCTTCTCAGCTTAAAGCCCTTCCTCTCACACTTTCCTGCTCCAGCTCTGAGCCAGCAAATCCAGAAGGGCTTTTGCAGGAGGGCAGTGCAGAAGGCTTTTCACCAAAGCCAGGCTGGGAACCAAGTCCGATGGGAACTTGGAAAACCCGGGTTTTTCCTCTGAATCCACTTCCTTCTTTCACAGGGACTGGACCCACCAGCCAACCACACTCGAGCAATAACCATTTGGAAATATAAGTGAAAATTGAAGAGAGTAAAAATCCCTGGGCCCTGGGAACTGTGAGGAGGGCAGAGGGTGGGAAGTGCCCTCCCTGCTGCAGGGGTGGGATTGAGCTGCTGAATTGCTGAATTAATCAAACCCGACCAGGCTCCCCCTCCCCGGGTGCTGAAAGGAGCCCAGACTTCTTGCATTGTCATAGTGGTTGCACTCTGCTCCCAGATGGGCAGATAATAATGTTGGAGATGATTTACTGCCCTGCAGCCGGTGTTCTGGGAGGTTTATAGAGATCAAATCGCACAGTGAGCTGGAAAATCCTCCCCACTGTCGCGGCTGTTCCGTGGCTGCTGCTGGCAGTGGGACACTCCTGGCTTGAGAGGAAGTTTGCCTGGTTCAAACAGCAGTGCAGGCATTACAGTGTAATTACTCCCATGATTAGGCCAGAGACAACCCCCCCCAAATATTAATTAAAAAAAAAAATTAGTTTTTTCATAGCTGTGTTTAATGAAGAGCTCCCAGTCCCTTTGGCAAGAAGTCTTTGCAGCACTGTAAGGTGTAACTGCAGATTTTACTTTCCAGTCCTAATATCCCAGACTAGATTTCCTCCCCAGTTGTCTTCATTCCTGAAATTAGGTGCCTTCCTGACAAGGATTTCCTGGGCCAAGTTTATTGACCTTCGATCTGCAAGCTCAGGGTGAGGGGTAAAAAAAAAAAATCAGTGCTTGGGCAGGACGATTGTCAGGTTGGGAAGAGAAAGACATCTCCTATGAGTTTTAAGTGTTGCAAATGTATTGTAGTGAACAGCTCCAAGGAGCAGCTCAAGGTCTGAAGTTTGAAACACCTCAAAATTATAACAGTTGCTGGTGCTGCAGGAGGAGGGAATTCCATGCTAGAAATGCCCTTCTGAAAACCAAATACTACCAGGTTGTGAGGACTGAGAAAGCAAACCCCGAGTTTATTTAGGCCATCAGTGAAAGGAACAAGTGGGTTCTGTGCATTGGTTGTGCAGCAGGGATTAACACCCTGGCCTGGGTGTTGGAGTCCCTGCTCCATTTGTGCTTGGAATAAGCTCCGAGCTACCTCGGGATACCTGGCTAAGCAGGTGAAGTGTGATCCAAATGCATGAGCAGCAGTGTTTTGAGGGGATATAATTAAACAGTCAGCTCTCAGTGGAGGAAAAACTACCACAGTTGCCTTCAGCAGTTCCTTGGTACTTTCTCTTTAAGTGGTTCCTGAGATTTTAGTTTTGGAATTAAACTTCTTTCTCAATATGTCCCAGGCTTCAGACTTCTGGGCTGATTTTGCAATCACTCTGCTGGTTTTAATGATCTTTGTTTGGTGCAAAAAGAATTTGAGTTGCTACCCAAACATCCCAATCCAAATCTAAACAGAAGAATTAAATGTGAGGGTTTGCAAACATTCAAGGGAAACCCTTCAGTTTCTATCCAGAGACAAATATAAAAAGCTGAGAAGAAATTAATTCTATCCCAGCTGAAACCAGGACATAATCTGGTTACTTTTTTTTTAAAGGAATTTTTGGTGACTGCCATGATCCTTCTGATCACACCGTGATTTTACCTAATGAAGTTCCCAATTGCTGGTGATTTTTCCGCCAGGTGGATCTGCTCCTGCGCTCATCCATCTGCGTTAGGTGCTTTTCCGGTTTCCATGGTAACCGGGCAATTTAACATATCTGGCCTTACAGTATCTTACAGAGAAATACCATGTCCATTTTATAAATGTGCAGCCAGAGGTGCAGGGAACAAAGTGATTTGCCCAGGGTTACAGGGTTCATCTGCAGCTGAATAGGGTAAGAACATTGTTTTTTGCAGAGCTCCAGGAAAGTGCCTGAGCTGCCAGGCTGGCCGTTCCCAGGGAGGTGTTTGCTGGATCAGATCAGCTGAAGGTTGTGTCCCAAGTGTTCTTTTTCTCAGACTTGGAAAAGAGACTTTCCGAGATGAAGAGGTTGGGGTTTGAGCGGTGCAGAGCAGAGTGAGTAATGAAACAAGAAATCAAAACTTGCACGTAATGTATTCATGGGGAATGCCAGCCACATTCCTGGGGTAAATAACTCCCAATGAATAATTCAACCAGCGTCATCGCCAGGGCACAGCAACAGGATTGGTTTCTAATCACTGGGCCTTTTCCTTGGTGAACAGTTCAAGCCACAGTCAGACCCTGATGTTTCCCAGCTCGGGCTCTGGGTTTTGCCTGTGGCTTGGCCAGAGATGGCCCAGGGTCAGGTTTGTGCTGAGCACCCTCAACTTCTCTTGGAAACCTAAAGAAACTCCAGGCATTTGGCCTCTTACCTGGTGCAAGTCAAAGCCAGCCTTCAAAAAAAAATGCACCCAGAGTCTCAAAACGCTGTGAAAATAGGAAAACATTGAAAGCTGTTGAGGAATCCTGGATTAGCTGAGCACACACCGAGGAGGGAAAGGCTGGTGGCCTTTGGAACAACTTCTCACATTAATTTTCTTCCAATGCTGACAGCTTTGATTTATTGCCTTGAGGGTGGTTAGAAAACACCCAGACATGAGTGAAGCCAGGAGCTATGGAAAGAAAAGGGAAATATGGTAAACACAGTGATGGATAGCACTGGTACAGACACTGCTCTGCCCCAGATATTGGCTCCCAGCGAGGATGGGTGCAGAGTCCTGGCAGCACTGCCTGGAATTGCTCCCATCAGACCCACCAGAGAGGGAACTTCTCTTGGGGTTTGCTGCTTTATCATCTGTCAGTGAAGTTTTGGTGGTGATTTCTGCATCCAAGGGGGATGTTTGAGATCGAGCCGATCACTGACTGCCTGTGCTGGGGGGAAAACAAGTTTGCAAGTGCTTCCTCCTCAGAAATCAAAACAGCTGATTATTTCCCAGCAGGAATTTGGTGAAATCAGTTAAAGAGATTTCTCTTGGTCACCAAAATAATAGCTGAGGAGCACAACATCCTGAAAGTCATCTGTAAGGTAACAGTGAGATTCCAGAGCGGCTCAGGGTGTATTTAATGCTGAATTAACAGCTTGCCAAGGGTAGGAGAGCCCTGCTTTCCTGGACTTCTTTTCCTTTTCAAATAATCCAGACTATTACCTTAAATACATAATTTTTCAAGCAAGACTTTTGTTTAGGCACAGTTTATGGCATTTCCTAGGTACAGATCTTATCTGCTTTTCTCCAGCGTGGAAAATAACATGTGAGCTCTGAATAGGTCTCAGATGCTGAATTCCAAAACACTGGGATTAAATTTGAGTCCCAGTGGGTCCTGCAGCTTCCCAGATGTTCATCACTCGCAGGGTTTATTACATTTTAGATGATACCATTAAATCCTGCCACCCCTGGAGATGCTGGTTTGACTTTGTGGGTCTGAAGAGCAGAAGACCACGGAAGAGCCCCCAGAGCTGCACCAATTTAGAAAGGCAGTAATTTAAGTTCCCTTTTAAAGAACAGTGATTGGAACCTTATTTTATAATTAGTTTGCAAATTTAATTTCCCTTCCTCCATATCTTTTAGGAGTTACAGATATATTTCCCCCGATTTAGATACCTTTTTTAATTATTATTTAGCTTTTTATTATTTATTTATTTTGCTCCCTTTCTCAGTGCTTTTGCTCCTGCCACAATTAATGTGTGGTTTTGGTTTTGCTTTGCAGAGGGCCTGTCTGGGGGCACTGGTGGCAGTGGGTCCTGCTCCCCTCTTGTTTCAAAAGTGCATGAAATCCGAAGATGGGGTTGGGTTTTTTTTTTTAAATGTTTCAAAAGTGTTGAATAGTAAAAAAAAAAAACTCAACAGGAGTTTAAATAAACACAGGCAAGTGAGTCAGCAAGAAGATATAAAATCATCAGGAAAGGCTGAGTTTGTTTTAATACAGGGATTACTGTAAACACTCGGAGTGCATGGTAACAATTTGTAGCCCATGTGTTTCGAAATATCATAACTGGTGTCAATAAACACATTAAACTTCAACTTCAAAGGGCTTTGTGGATGTTTGGAGTGTCAGGAAGACATTGCAAAAGGGGGATTTGGGGTGGAAACATGTATGGGAGCAATCAACCACAGCTCCAACGTGAGGAAAGGGATCTTGTCGAGCTGTTGGAGTTAAGCATCTGTGATGGTGATTATTGCTTCCAACACCAAGAACTGCTCCCAGCCCCAGCTCCTTCCCACTGTCTCCCTCTCCTCCCAGCCTGGCCTGCCTGCTTGTCTCTCCCACCTGCTCCATCTCACTTCCCAGGCTGGATCCCTCGGAGCAGGGTTTGTTTCTCCAGGCAGGGAAGGCCCGGCTGGTTTCGGGCTCTGTCTCACTGGGAAGCATGGACTGGGTTTGGATCTGCTCCAGGGTGAGCTGCCCCACGTGAGGAAGCTGTGGAGGAGCTGCTGGGATGGACGTGCTTGTCTCGCTCCAGTTCCTCTGGTGTCTCTCCACAGCTCTCAGAAAATGAACCATCTTTCCCTTCCTGAACGAGATCTTGTCGTATCAGCACGAGCCAGGGCACGAGGTGGTTTTGATGTCTCATATTGTCTCATCTGTGAATTCAATTTACTGCGCTCCAGCTGAACACCAACAGCCATTTCCCTCATTGCAAACCCTACAGCACCCAAATTAATTCACACATGCCCTTTTTGAGGTGAGGTGCGACAGAACCAATCTGAGGGAACAGATGAGCATTCCTGTGTCCGGGTTCAATCATCCCAGTCAATACTGCCTTGTTTTAATACTCAGCCTCATGTTCACACGGGAGCCCCTCACTGTGCACACCAGCCAGGATTAGATGGAGCTGAAGGGGGATGTTGGGAACAACCCCTGAAACGCTGAGGGCACCTGTTGGCATTAATAGAGCAGCGTGTGTGGAACATGGGAGCACACAGGGGGTGATGTACACAGATATCCAGGGGATTGAGACCTTGCTGAGGTGGCATTTAACACCCAGGTGTTGGAGTGGAAACAGCAGACACAGAGCTGGTCCCTTGTTGATGCTTTGGGAGTTTATCTGGGGTATGAGCATCCCTGGATGCAGAGGGATTTGCCTGCATTCAAAATTGCTGTTTAATCTCTGCCTTTGCTTGGAATGTGCCCCTGATTCACAACCACCTCCCTGCAGCAGTTGGCACCTCTGCCATGGGAGCTGCAGGAAAGGGTAATTAAGTTTAATAGGAGCCACCCTTGCTTTGAAGCTGCCCTGGCTTTAGGGCCACAAGGAGAAGCAATTAAACCCCGGCAGCCACGGATTCCAGCCGAAGGTATAGAGTGATTTATTTATTTTTTTAAAGGAAATTTCCCCTGTAAACGGATTTGGATTGTCAGATCTGATTGGATTCAAAGCTGCAGAAATTTCCTTCCTTGGGAAATCTTCTCCTGAAGCAAAATGAAATTACTGCTTCACTTCTGTGATGTTACCAAAAATTAGTCTTTAAATTAGGTAACAAGGACAGGGAAAAATATTCCAGAATGCCATAATCAGTGCCAAAGAGAGTTCTAACTATTTCAACATCATTTTGGGGAGTTTCCCATGAAGGATCAGTTGGAAAAGGTCTCATTCCAGTGCAGACGTTATTTGCAAAAGTAAACTGGTAACTCAGTTAATACTTACAGGGAGGTGAAATTGTTCTAATTTTCACCAATCCTTGGAAATATTTGTAGAGTCTCAGCTAAGCCAGAGGCACATGTGAAAATCTCATTGTTTTTCATCTCTCTTCCCCTCCACAGAGTTTCCAGGTGTGCACACACTGCAGGGATGCAGTAACTCCTGCCTTGGAGTCCTGTGGGGAGCAGCACACCTTCTCCAATGGGAGATTCTTCCCTCTTAAGGCTTCTGGGATACCTGGGGGTTGTATTTTAAACCGGCGCTCCCATTATTTTGGACCTCATTAAAACCATTTCCTTTAGAAACCCAGCAAAACCCCAAACAGAATCCAAATATAAATCAATGCAAATGCAATTACTGCAACTGACCTTCCTCTGTGCCTCAGGGTCTGGAAAAATCCATCGATTCTCTGCTGTAATTTATCTGGGAAGGAAGAACACCCCGTTTCACTTCCAAGTCCGAGCCCTGAGTCAAACGCTCTGGATCCCTGGAGGAGGCGGCGCTGCCGGTGCAGCTGCAGGGACTGGGAGTGAGGAGCACTGGGACACCAGTGGAGGGGTGACCTGGAAGGCTTTGGAGATGCTCTGCAGCAGCAGCAGAGGGTCAGCACCCTCCCCATGCCAGGAATCTGCACGCCGATCTTGGACGTTACCTCTGGACAGTGCAGGGCTGGTGTCTCTCTCTCTCTGGTGATTCCTGCTGTTGTGGGATGCCCCAAATGCAAGCTGGTCGTGTTTGGGGTGAGTCATGATGACTGTTCTATTGTGCAAGGAAGCCAGACCTAAGGGGGTGTTTTGTCTTTTACTTTCCCTGTGGAAATTGGGGCGGTGACGTCCTGGGATGACGTGGAGAGGGTTTGGAGATGCCTGCATGAACAAGGACTCAGAGTGAAGCAGGGTGAGAGGCCAGCCCTGCTGAGCCAGACCCCCTCAGCCCTTTGTGCCATCAGGAGCAGAAGGGTGAGAAGGTGTTTGGGTGTGTCCAGGTGCCCTGTCTGTGCTCTGCAGGTGCCACTGTCCCCGTGTGCCTGTGCCCAGCTGTCAGGGATGTACAGGAGATGTGCTCTATTGCCTTGGATCCTGCCAAAATGTACAGGAAGAGCCTGAAAACCTTATGTGTGAGTACATTCCCCCTGGTGGAAGGGCTGCCAAGGCAAGAGGCCACATATTCCAAGCTCCTGAAGTACCCACAGAGGCAGAAATCCCAGGGCCAGGGGTTGGGAGGCACTTCCCAGTGCTGTGAGCAAATCCAACATCCAAGTCCAGCATCCCCAGGAACCTGCTCAAATTGGGCAGACTGACTCTTTCTCAAGGTTTCAAGAAGAGGCTTCTGAAGAAGCTCCAGGCAGGAGTTCCCAACACAACTCCTGTCAAGGCTGGGTGTATTCCATGTGGGTTGGTGCTTCCGTGCTTGGCAGCTTAAGAGCATTGAGGAATGTGTGGATTACCAGGGGAGACCATAATGAGGTTGGACCAACAGTGCTCCTGAGAAAATGCTTTTGAAAATTTCAGTAGGACCATCCAGGATTTTTTTTTTTTAAGTGCCAATCTGAACAGCTGGAGAGCAGTTAATAAATCAGTACAAAAATAATTGATTTATAGTAAGTGATTTTATAGCTTACTAAAGAAAGGTCCCTTGTGCATTGGGTTGAAGAAAGAGTCCTTGTTCGGAGCATTTTTGCCATCCAAGATGTTGGTTTTAATTCTAGAAATGTGTTGATCCCTGCTAGAACTGCAAACAGTTTGTCAGACTTTTAAAGACTTGAGAAGGAGCCCCTGCACTCCTGTGCCCGCGGGTCTGGCTCTGTGCCACTCCCTGCCAGCTGCCAGGGACGGGAAAGAGCCCTCTGAGGGGGAACCAGGGGCTGCTGACCCTTCCCCATGGCCCTGCACATCTCCTGGAGGAGCCCAGGGGGGACTGGACTCCTGCAGTTGTTTTTTGCTCGGGAAAAAGGTTGATGTGGTTGTTAAGGCAGAGCTCTGACACCCAGAGGATCTCTGTGCTACTGGTGGCCTTCTGTCGGGATTTGCTGTGTTATATCCCATAAAACATCACCTCTGTTGGTCCATCTGTGGGGTTCCACCAATATTCCAGCAGAGGGACTATGTGAGGCTAAATTTAGATAATATAATGCTCATTAAAGTTAGTAAATTAGAGAGCACAAGGTGAAAGGTGTCTGATTTGGGTTGATTTTTGGAGTGCTCCTGAAAGAATGTTTTGATGTCAGGACCCTGAGGGACTGGTCCTGAGCTGGCATGGATTCTCTTTGGGAAAAGCTGAATCCATTAGCAGAAAGTGTTATCCCTCTGCCTCCTCACAGAGCCCTGGGGAAAGGGATGATCCTGCAAACTTTTGCTGGAATTACTGAACAAATCTGCCTTGCCGAGCTCGGTGTTTGTAAATAATCCCACACTTCGGCTTTTGGATTGCCAAAACGACCTATGAAATTCTTAACAGGGGTGTGAATTTTCAGCACTGAAACCTGCATTCGAATAAACAGCTCGAAAACTGGATTTACAGAGCTCATCTTTATCCACACCTGCAAGTGTGTGCACTGCTCCCAGCCAGGCAGGAGAAACAGCCCCCCAATTCGGGAAGGTGATTTGCACTGTGATTTACATATTATGGCTACAGATTTACACATCGAGACGTGCAAAGAGGAGAAGAGCTGCACTGTGAATCACTCGGTTCGGGGCTGGCTCTGCTCGCTCAGCTGCGGGGATGACTCTCCAAACTCAGGGATGCCCTCTGCTGCCTTGGGACCGATCAGTCACCTGTCACCTCCTCCAGCTGCCCTGGAGGGATCGCAACGCTCTTTTTCCTTCCCTACAAGACATTCCCAAGTGCTCCGAGGGAGGCACAGAGCCCCCCGAGCATCCCTGGGCAGGGCGGGGGGAAGATAAACCAGGCTGGAAGGACGAGGGCAGGGGAGTGGAGGACGATTTGAGCTCAACTCCACAAAACCCACCAAGCCTCATTTTCCCCACGAGCAGAGTGACAGCAGAAAGCCAAGAGCTGGGGAAAAGCACGAGGCTTCCCTGCTCCAGAGGCTCCACAAGGCTGAGATCCAGATTCCTGCATCAAGTCAAGGCAAGTATTCAGAGCACTTCAGAGCTGTTAAGAGGTCAGAATCAGCAGTCTGGGATCTTTCTGCTCTTCCAGAATGTCACCTTTCAACAGCCCTTTGGAAATGGGTAAACAAATGGGGTACAACTGTGGGCAGTTTAAATATTTCACGGCTCACTGAGTTTTGTATGAGGAGGGGTTCGCAGTATTTAGACTCCTGCTCCAATAATCTAATGCAAATAAAACCAAAAAAAAGAAGGACACCAAAAAAATCTGATGCAAAACAAAAATGTAAAAAGCTGTGCTGGAAAGCAGAGGGGACCTGGGTGAGTGGAATGGTGCAACCCAAGGTTGCTGTCAGGAAGGAGAGGAGAGAAGGGGAAGAGCAGGAGAGCTCTGCAGACCCAGTGAGACACAAACTGTGCTCACACAGTCACAGCCAGCAGAGCTCCCCGGGTGCTTTTAGTGAGATTCCACCCTCACAGAGCAAGATATGGCCTGATGTGGTGCTGGATGGGTTCACTGATACCAAACTCCTCTTACATGGAGGGACCTGGTTCAGCTGCTCCCAGCTGAGACTCCTTCCCCAGCCCCTCATTCCAGGCCTGCAGCACCCCCAGGCCTGGGCTGGCCTGGCTGTTCCCATTTGGGCACGTCCTTGCTCAAGGACACACCATGAGATAGCAGGAGTTGGCACATGTTCCTTGACTGCAGACTTGTTTCAGCCTCCTGGTCACCTTGTGTTGCCATGGCTGCTCAGGGCACTGGAAATTCATTCCTTCAGTTGTTTCATTTTTGCTTTGAAGGGTCTGAGGTCCCAGTCATTTGGGACCTTATTCCCTCGGCCCCCATAGCGTAGGAAATGAGCTGCAGGAGCCCTTCCTCTGATGTATTTCCACCTGTGCTCTCCCTGTGCTCTGGATCCATGGAGGATTTAAATTGTAAATTTGCCCGGGGAGGGCATGGAGTCTCCCTGTCTGGAGACATTCCAAACCCACCTGGACGTGTTCCTGTGTCACCTGCCTTGGGTTGAACTGGATGATCTCCAGAGGCCCTTTCCAACCCCAGCTATTATTCTGTGGTTCTGTGAGTGCCAGGGATATTTCCAGTCTCAGCAGCACTGGTCTGGTGAGCAGGGCACTGGCTGCAGGGATGAAAGAGTGGGAGCCAAATGCCATCACTCAGAACATCCCCCCCTTCCTTCTTCTCCCCCAGCTTTACATGCTGGCCACGGTGCCACATGGGCTGGAATATCCCTGGGCCAGTTGGGGTCACCTGTCCTGGCTGGGTCCCCTCCCAGCTCCCTGTGCATCCCAACCACTCGCTGCTGAGGTGGAGTGAGGAGGAGAAGGCCTTGGCTCTGTGTAAACCCTGCTCAGCAATAATGAAAACATCCCTGTGTTATCAACACTGTTTCCAGCACAAATCCGAAACAGCCCCACACCAGCTACCGGGAGGGAAATTAACTCTCTCCCAGCCAGAACCTGGGAATTTTTTCCCTCCCTCTCTCCCTCCCAAAGTCTCAGTTAAGTTTCAATCCAGTAGCAGCTCTTTATTTTCTTTTAAATGTCAAACAATTCATCATTTTGCACTTTGCCCATTCCCTGTGAATTTAAAGGCTTTGTTGGCACTGGGGGATGTCAGCCCAGGACAATGCACACTGATTACCCCAAACAATGTGGTTCTTGTCACCCTGCCCATTTTTGGCTGTGAGCTCTCCAGAGCTGCAGGAGAGCTCTTGCTCTCTCCCTCTCCTCCCTGTTATCACACACACAATAAACCCCCTGGGTTCAGATATACACTGGGCAATTATTACCTTTGTTATTCCAGCCCCCTGCCCTCCTCCTGTGTGGGTGCTGAAAGGTGCCCTCGCCCCACCTTGCAGGGCTCCAGGGGGGTGGTGATGGGCAGCTTGTTCTGAAACAGCTGGATGGAGATGCCAGGTGTGCCTCCTCCAAAGGGGCACAGGGGAAAGGTGGGAAAGGAGCATCCTTTGTTTCCCCTCAGTGACACCCAGGGCACAGCACAGAGAGCTCAGAAGAGCCGTGTCCAGCCAGCAGGGCCAGGAAAGAATTATCCAGGTAAATCAGGTGTTTGTCCCCCATCCCTGGGCAGAATGAGGCCCTGCCAGGCAGCCTGGCACTGACAGATCCAGCAGCTGCTCAGGGGAGACTGGCACTCGTCAGAGATGGTCAGAGATGTAGCAGTGCCTGTCCCAAAGACCTGTGGGGACCCGGCACAGCCTGTGCTGTCCAACCTGCCCTTGGATGTTCCCAGGGATGGGGCTGGGGGGCTGCAGGCTGTGCAGGGGTGTCCAGAAACAACCTCTGGGACATTCAGGAAGCACCAGAAAGGATAAAGGTGTTACCAGTCACAGGTAAGTACCAGCCCTGCACTGAGTGTGAGCAGCTCCATCCGAGGATTTACCGAGCACCTGCAAGGTCCCCCTCCACTTCTCAGCTTTGGACACGTCAGGTGAGTAGCTGAGTGTGAGGGGTTTGATATGAAAGAGGTAAGAACTTTCCAGAGCTTTTCCAGGTGGGGATGTCCTCAAGTGGAACAAGCTCTGGGTGAGGGAGGCTCTGCAGTCATTCCACACAGACCCACACGTGCACCCACACACACACACTGATTTTATTAAGCCATTCCATGCAAGTATTTTATGTATGTATATTTTTTTATTTGGAAAACTTCAGAGTGCTGTTTTTTCACACACAGTAAAGTTAGCTTTGCTGAGATTCATTAGTCCCCTTTCCCCCTGTGTGTAAATGGATCTCTCTCAGTTATGCAATGTGAGGGTACACAACCATGAAAAGTGCAGAGCCAGCCAAAAAAAGCATTGTTCTGGGCTTGGACGTGTAAAATATTCATATTCAATAATAAAAAAATAAAAAACCCCAGCCCTTAATAAAAAATTCACGGTGCAAAATGTGCATTGTCGTTCCCTCCCCAGGGCTGCAGCCGCTCCCAGCCCAACACGTTACAGGGGCTTTCACTGCCTTGTTTTACTCGATTAATTCCAAACCAATTCACTCCCAGACATCCCAGTATTAGGTGCCTAAATTGATTCTGATTTCTCTGAGGGCAGTGTATCTGTGACTGCAGTAATAGCTGGCAGGAGCTGAGGCTGCTCAGAGCACCCAGTGGGGAGTGTGGAGGGGCTGGTGGCACGTCTGGACCCCGAATGCCACGCTGGCCATGGCCACCCCAGCCAGCTCCAAACAGGCAGGAGAGGCCTCTTAGCCACAGACTGGGCTTCCTTAAAAGGGAACTGGGAGAAAGAAGTACCTCCAGTGGCTTTGAGGAACATCACATCCCCTGCATCCCAAGGCTCAGAACATCCATCTCCATCTGCCTGTCCCTCAGTGCTGTGCTCCTGCAGCCTTTGAGAATTTACTGCTTGTTTTTGCAATGAATCTCTCACTGAGAGCAGAGAGGGGAATTTGATGGTGTTAGAAAACATTTCCCTCCTTGTGGCTCCCAGGACAGCTCGGATCAAGTGTAACCCTGGTGATGTCAGAGCCCTGGACTAGTGCAGGAGCCGCTCAGTCCTTGCAATGCAGAGGAGCTGAGAAGATTTGGAAAGATTCAGCCCTTCAGATCCTTTGCTGCCCTGACAAATCCAAAGGGAAATGTGCTGCCAAAGTTGTTTCTGTGGGTCGTTCCCAAATTCCTGCAGAAAATGGTATTTTCAGAACAGCAGAGCAGTGAAGCGGTGCTGGTGGTCTGATGACATCCTCTGAAGTGCTGTCTTTCAGCCAAAACAATATGTATTTCCTGGAAGCACATGCCCCCAGAGGAAGAAGTCTGTGGAGTTTTAAGGTATCCAAGACAACAGTGCAGATGCTGGTTCCAGCTCTGCTGCTGTAAACCCACTGTGTTCAGGGATCTACTTTGAAACTGGGGGTTTTCACTGGTGAGATCCTTATTCCTTTGCTGGGGGAGGGATGGATCCCTGCATATCCAGAATGCCTGGAGAACCTCCAGCTTGCCCTCTGGGAAGTTGTGTTTCCAGACCTGTCACAGGCTTTCCAGGGCAGGTCACTGAGGTCTGGATTCACCCCATCTAACCTTTACAACTAGGGCAACAAACTGTTCACTCTGATTAAGGTAAGAGGAGAGAGACAAACTTCACCCACCCATGAGCTGCTGAGCTTTTATCCCTTTCCATTTAGTGAAAATAAAATCTTTTAGGACCGAGTTACTAATTTAATTCCCTTCTTTCTGGACATCTGTAAAGCTGAATGTGGGCCCTTGTCCTCCTGAGCACCCTCTGTGCAGATGTGGGACCCGAACCCCATCACCCTCCCCTGGAGCCCCACGCTGGGGGATGGCCCTGCCTGTGCCTCAGTGTGCTGCTCCCCACCCTGCCAGGGCCCAGGGAAACGCACACAGAGCCCAGCAAATCGTTCTGGAAGAAGGGAAATCAAGTTGTGTCCCCTTTCACCTCCCTGCAGCGTGTACCTGCCACCTCATCACTGCCACCCCCCTCCCGCGCGGGGCCCTGAGAAGGTTCCCTGGTAGCCAGAAAGCCCCATTACATCAAACACTTCTGTTTACTGTAACCTATAAACAGTGTTCTGAACTCAATATATTTCTGCCTGGAAAATTGTTTTCTCCCTGCCTGCCCCACACTCGAGGTGAGTGCCTGCTCTGCCGTGTGAGTTGGAGGCAGAGAGCAGCACATTGAACCTCCCACCACAGCAAAATCGAGCGCAGCAATTTAAAATCCTTGGGTTCTGCCAGAAGTTTTTGCACCGTTATGTCACATCCTATACATCAGAATTTGCTGGGAAAGACTCTTTTTTTATTTATTTTTTTTTTTCTTTTCAGTGTTCCTGCTCTCCTCTGGAAATAGAAATATCAGCAGGTTGAATGACGATGGTTCGTGTGTTTCCAGAGTGTGGAGGAGGAAGTTCGGTCTTTAGACTTACAAAACATGCAGTTACCTCAAACAGGAGATTTTAAGCATTGGAAAATAATGAGTATTAATGAGTCCTAAGTACAGACCCTCTGGGATACATCACAGTTAACTCATCTGTCCCATATTCCCCAGTGCTGCCAGAGCTGCCATTCCCAAGTCCCCATAAGCACATGGGGGGAAGGAGGAGCTGTTATTTCAGTGACCCAAGATGTGCCTTACATATCTCTGGGAATTATTGGCAGCCCACCTAAAATTCATTGGTTGTCTCCCTTTAGCCTTGGTGAGCTGTTCCAACATGTGTGGGTTTTTCTCTCTTTGTAATGTAATAAATCCCCATTTCTTAGAACACACAGTAGGGATCTCTCCAGTCAGTCAGTGCCTGGAGAATCAAAGAATCTTGGAACAATTTGGGTTGGAAGGGACCTTAAAGATCATCTCATTCCAATCCCCTGCCATGGGCTGGGACAGTTTCCACCAGACCAGGTGGTGCTCAGGCAGCAATCGTCTCTCATCAGCACCTGCCCTGATGCCTCAGACCAGCCCCAGCCCTGATGAACTGAGCAGGATCCACCTGGCCCACACACCTGACTCAAATTACCCTCATCAAGTCAGTTAACTCTACAAAGGCAGCTCTGGGGGCTTCCAGAAGGTTCTATTCTCTGGAAGGGATGGTCCTGCTGCCTGTGGGCTCCTCATTGCACTATCCTGCAAACTGGAGCCCCCATGTCCCCTATGAGGTTTGTGTCTTCTCCAGCTCTTTTGGGGTGATGAACTGGGGGCTGGTTCAGAGGTACAGGGTGGAGAATCCGAATTACAGCTCCAAAATACAGAGCAGTTTGTGCTCTTGGTTTGTGCCTGGGCTGCAAAATCTGCTTGTGGGTGCCACCAGCCAAGGCTGAGATGGCTCCAGCAGGAACCTTTGCGATGTTTGTGGGTTTTTACTGTGTTAAAACCCCTGAGTTTTGGAGCACCTGCCTTGCTAGCACAGGCTGGGGTGGGACTGGGGGAAGCTGCCCTGCTGCAGGGGGATGAGCTGTTTGCTTCAACTGCAGTGTTTCTTACAGGTCTGCTGGGTCCTGATGCTGTTGGTGTGGGGGCCCAACTCCTGTGTGGCAGCAGAAACATCTCCTCTGCAGAGGAAGAAGGACACAGCAGGTGCAGGTAGGAGAAAACTTATTTCTTTTGTATAAAAGTTAAAGGATGAGAAGGTTCAAGGCTGAGAGCAAATTACAGGAGAAGTTTGAGCAAGTGGAACTAATACAGGAAGTGATTTGGGAAATCTGGATGATTGTCCTCTGCTCTGGCTGAAATGCTGTTGTTCTGGGTGTGAAATGGTGCATTTTCAGCAGTTCTGGGTAACAGTTTGGTCAGGAAATGAAGGTGACAATGTCCATGTGAGATGCCAGATGACAATAATTGGTGGCTGTTGCCAGGCTGGTGAGCAAAGCTTGGTGTTCTCAGAAAGGACGTGGGGCTCTCCTGAGTGCCAGAGCATCCTAGTATTTCATTATAAGGTAGATGAATTGTGGGAGACAGTGTTGGTGTCCCTCAGAGTTGGTTGGTTTGAAACTTCTGGCTCCAGGTAGGCGGCTGTGAGATTTTTGTGAGCAGGGGAGAGACCTTGGTGACTTCCAGACTGAATAATCCCAGAAGACCTTGAGGTTTGTGAAGGGAAGGAGTTGTGTCAAGACAAGCAGTGAGGCTCTGGCTGCTCTGTGCTGAGGATGGAGCTGACCTGAGTCTGCCAAGCAGGGTTGAGGATCTCTCCTCCCCTCTTCCCCCGTAGCCTGTGGATAACACGTAGGAAAAATCAATAATTTGATGGTTTGTGTGTAACAAAATGTGGGATTTCTGCCTGGTGGTCACTGGTGCCAACCTTGGAGCTCTTGGTGATGCTGGAGGGCACCTGAGCCAAGGCCTTGGAGCACAGGGGGAGGGAAAATTGTGGTTGTAGTGTGGGTGAGAACTGTCTGGAACCGTCCTCTGGTGAGAACCCAGCCGTGTTTGAACTGCACATCCATCTGCTTCTGGTAAAGGAACACACAGCTGTTCCTGCCTGCACTTATTGTTTAATTCATTCATGCTGCTTGCTGGAAACACCATCGTTAAAGTCCTTTTGGGGCACAGTCTGCTTTAAAGAAAACTCTCCATGGAAAAGACTTTCCTTTAAATTTAGTACAAAAGAAAAACCCAGTGAGTTTTATTTATAGATCAGGGCATGAGAGATTTTCAGTTTTCAAGCCAGTGCTCTATCTCTGTTTCTCCCATAAAAACATGTTTAGCATTTTTCTCATCCTACCAGAATAAAATTCTTTTATTGAGATTTTTTTTTTCTTGACAAAATGCAGCCACTTGAGTGACAAAAATATTGAGTTTACCCACTGAATAGCTTTGTGAGTTGTGATTCTGTTCTTGGATGACGTGTCCTGGGTTTTGGTTATTCTTTAATAGATCATCTCTTACTTCTGTGAGCTTGGGACAATTTATGTGACTAAGGGTGTCTGAGTATTTTCCAGATCTGTACCTTGGGTATGATAAATTTGGGAGTATTGTTAATACATAAGAACCCAGAATTTCCTTGTGTGATATCTGTGTGTGTGAACAGTGAGAAGATGTCTGGGGTGACTGTCAGAGCTATGACTTTCCAACGACCTGAGTGATAAGCAAATGATCAGTTTAGTGTGAGCTGGTGTGTGTTTAAGGGTGGGGGGGAACCAGCAGTGCCCTGTGAATGACAACACTGACAACACAGCTCTTGATTTCTGTTCTTTATTCAGAGTAAGATGCAGAGGGTTTGGGGGCTTTGTTTAAACTGAAAGTTTTCCCTTGCCTGGTGAAGGTGGGGCTGTGATAAACGGGTCCAGCTGTGGAAATGAAAGGCTGAGGTGGCTCCAGTGCAGAACTGCTGACCCACTCTCCTAAGGCTGGGTGTCATCTCAAAAAGAGCAGCAACTCTTAACTGCTTCAAAAAGAAGCTGGGGACACTGGCTGCTTATTCTCCTGCTGCAGCTTTGCTGTGTTTTGCTATTTCCCAGTCATTCTTTTCACCCTTGTTGTGCCCTTCCAGCCCACAGTTAGTGGGTGATACATTTAGGAAGTGTTTCACCGCCTGGGTGGTTCACTCAGCTGAGCTTTGTGACAAAATCACTGACTGTGACTCAAATTCCCTTCCAAATGTTAAGTCCTTTTATGATCTGTAATCGGTTCATGTTCTGGCTTGCTTAAAAATGGAGTTAAGGAGCTGTTAGTAATAGCTGTACAGATAATGTGCTCCCCATCTGAAGGAACTCTGCCCTCATCATAATGCACCTGAGCAGCTGGGAGTGTCCAAGCCAGGTTGGACAGGGCTTGGAGCAACCTGGGACAGTGGGACTGGATGAGTTTAAAGTCCCTCCCAAGCCAAAGCAGCCTGTGATTGTGTGAATGGAGAGGGTAGATGTGAAATGCAAGTGCTGCCCTTATTTGAGCCTTTTTTCGGGAATCCCTTCAGTGCAGGTGGCTGGGGAAGCTCAGGTGGAGCTCTGGGTGGGAGCCCCAGGGAAAGGCTGTGAACAACAAAGGGCACTGTGGGGCAGCCAGGGAGGGAACTGCCAGACACCAGGAGCCAGTGGTTCAGAAGAACAGCTTGGACTGGGAGGGGATGAGAGCCCAGGGGGTCCTTTGCTCAGGGTCCCTCCTCAGAAGCACCGGCTCGGGCTGTTGGAGTTCCTGTGCCACAGATAAATGGCTTTATGGAGCGAGACATCTGAGACTCTGCTAAACCTGGGCTTGAAGCCGTGAGGAAACCTGGTCTGGCTGTGGCAGTGGGGTGTGTGGGGAGCTCCTGGTGGCTCCTGGAGGGCTTCAGTCCCAGCAGGAAAAGTCTCTGGTGCTGGGAGTGGGACTGCCAGAGCAGCTCCTGGATGATCAGACAGGGGTTTCCTTAACATATTTAAATCATTGTATGGATGATCTCACTCCATTATTTTGCAAGGAACTTCTCAGTTCACTCTATTTAACTTTAGACTTCAGAGAAATGAAACTACTTCCCCATCTCATTTATACTGAAGGAGCAAAACTGCAGCTGAAAGGCAGTGGAGCAACTCATGATGTATTTGAGGGCACTGAGAGGATCTGGAGTGAAACCATGAGGGGGTGTCCATCAGGGAACAGTGCTGCTGTGCTCTGAGGAGGTTGTTGAGAATCAACCAGGGTTTTCTGGAGCTGGTGGCCTTGGTCACTTCCAGGGATGGGGTAGCCACAGATTCTCTGGTCGACCTGTGCCAGTGTTGTTCAGCAAGACTTTTGACCCAGTTATCAAAGTAATATTTTATTTTTTAAGGCCGTAGCAATTGTAAAAGCCTTTTTCTCACAGGGGATGTAAATCAGAGCTCTCATTTTCTGACAGGGAACAGTGAGCGTGTCTGATGCTTTCCAAACTGTGCCATTCCTTTTCCAAAGGTTCTGCTCTTTCCTCTGTTTTAGCACAGGTCTTCACAGGAATAAACCCAATGGAACATGAGTCACTGCAGGAACAAGCACATGGGCGAGGTGGGCTCCTGGCTTATAAATGGTACAATTGTAGATAGAGAAGTGCAAAGACTGCACTGGTTGGAAAGCTGGCTGGAAAATAGCAGTCATGAGGTAGACAGACATTTATATTCATAGAAACCATTGACTATTTTGTATATATTTGCATTTAATTTTCTAAGCATGTCTTTGGAGCTTGGCTTTTAAATGTTCATTGATTAGCTTATCACGAGCTGCACCTCGTTATTATCATCCACAAACCTGTGGCACTCCTGGGGGACTGCCACAAGCTCTCCTGTAGCAAATCTGTGGGCTAAAGAGCCACCGGTAAGGCTGAGAAGCCTGATGACCTTGTTTCTAAATGTTTGATATGTCCTTTGTGTGTTAATGGAAGTTATGGGAGGGTCTGTGTGAAATTCAGGGCTTCTGAAGGCAAAGAGCAGAACTCTGGCAGTGTCTTCTCGTTGCTCCCATCACAGTGTTCTGAGGTTTCAACCCAAATCTCTTAAATTAATGGGTAGTTTGTTCTTCCACCTGCGAAGTAAAACACAGGGACTGTGCCTGTGTGGCTGCAGAAGGGTTTCTGTCTCGATTAGAGGTGCTGCTCATTGCTCTGAGGTGAACAGCATCTCCCTGCAGCAGGGGAATGGAGCTGGGGAGGGAACTTTTCAGTGGCTTCAAGAGCTTTCACCTCCTCCACGGAAATGAAACCAAAACCTTGCACAGTTTAACACACAAACTGTGGGGAGAGGAGAAACGAGATTTAGCAGCAGGACAAACAGCCAGAACACAGGAGAGAATCCCTGTGACTCTGTTCCTATTTGTGCCCTGAGCTGTTCTGCCCTGCACTGCATTGTGTTGTCTCGTGGGTGAGAGCCTTTTTGGCTGAACAATTACTTGTAACTGATGTTATATCGGGTGAAAATATATTTGTTAAAACGCTAATTTCCAGTGATTTAAAGCACTTTTTAAAAGAATCCCCACCCTGTTCTAACCCATCACAACGTTTAGGGGGTGATTAGTGGGACAGCAATACATGAAATGGGGGGACACGGGGTGATCCAAATGCATGCCTGGAGTAATTCCCTTCAGTTTGTGAGCTTTACCCAAGGAATGAAGTTGACTCATTCTTCCTGGATGCGGTCCACCTCTCATGGAAATCGATGGAATTCTTTCTGGTGCGTTTTAACACATGTTCTTGCAGTTACTTTCTCCAGTAAGTCCTCATTAATTTGTAAATCTACGTGAACTCTTGGTTCCCTGTGGTTAAAAATATTATTTTTTTGGTAGCGATGGCCCAGTCACTTGGAGGGTGCTGTAAATACTTTCCCATCTCTGGTTATGATCTGCAGAGCCGAGGACAGGAGCTCTTTGTGCTCTGGGCACTTACATGATTTCATTGATGCCGCCTTTAAGGGGAGCTGGGAGAGCCGGGGTCCTGCTGGGGGGGTCCCCAGCAAAGGGGCTGCCCCGCCGGGGGTCCCGGGGGGCCGGGGCTGTGTCCCCACCTCCCAGCCCCAGTGGGGTGGCCGCAGCCCGGGGAGCGCGTCCCTCCCGCTGCCCGGAGCGCTGCCCGCTCTCCCGGGAGCGAGGGATGACGGCGACATCACCTCACACCCCATCAGCTTTTTGCCTTCCCCCCCGGCCCGTGAGTTATGCTCTGAACTGCCTTTTTAAAGATTTTTTTTTTTTTTTAAAGCTGCTTTGTATTAAATGAATAAAATATGTTCGTGTCCCGTCGGGTCCCTGTTCGCTTCCATTCCACCCCTTTATAAAAAGGAGTTAATCAGAAATGAGTTGCCACTGGCTTTTTGCAGTTTATCGCGTTCCCAAAAGGACTTTTATATCCTTAGCCCGTTGGATCATCTTCTTTTAATCCTGAAAAGACAACTGCGGGGGAGTGTGTGTGGAAGGGAGTGTTTGAAGGCAGAGATCATGTCGCCTTGTAAACAGATTTTGCAAACCCAGTAAGAGTTGAGTTTTGCGTTCACTTTATGCTCGCAGAGATCCTCCTTGCATCAAAATCTCACCGTTTTAATTCCTTCTGCTGTAGAAAAGCAGCGTCTATCCAGCACCGAGAGTTTTTCAGGTGTATTTGGAACAGATAAATATTTCCGATTTTAGAACTCGGTGTTTAAAGAAAAAAGGCATATTCGGAGAACGGTTTGATTCTTTACTTTTCCTGTTTGTTAGAAAAAAAGTGTTCTTAATTATGACTTGCGGGGTGGGGAGGATGCTTGGAAAGCTCTTCCAGAAAAGTAATTCTAAACAGTAAAAAAAAAAAAAAAAAGGAAAAAATGCTCTATGATGTTTTATTTTAATAATCCTTTGCAGGCATGTGAGCCGTGCGCTGAGGGGGAAAAAAATAAAGAAGTTTCAGGAAAAAGGCACGAACAATACCGCCTTTAAACCCAAATCTGCAAACTTTTGAGAATATGCCCTCGTATTGAATACACCGGATTTCTCTCCCGAGCGAAGGGGAAGGTTTTGTTCGTTTGGACAGTCTTTGAATACTGTTCTAAAACTTCTTTCAAGTGGGAACTGAAGAGAGAAATGTTAAGTTCTGGGAGGAGACAATAAGTTAGCATCTTTGAGCGGGGTCCCTTGCATGCAAATCAGGCTTTTGGCAATTTGGGGAAGTTTAATTGGAAGGTGGAAGCGTGTAAAGATAAGGAAACGGAATCGGTAAGAGCAGCCCCGCTGCTCCCTGGGGGCCCGGGGGGAGGCCGGGCCGCCGCTCCTCACCTTGCCCGGGGCGGCCCCCGATCCGCCCCGTCGGGCACGGCCGGGGGCTCTCGCCCCTCTCCCCCCGCTCTCAGCGGCAGCTCCCGAAGGTGTCTCCTAAATAAATCCCTCGGTTTAAAGTTTCTATAATTTTCACCTAATGAATTTTTTTCGTTGCTCTCCCCCCGCCCCCGGGACATTGTGTCAGGACGGCGCGTTCGCGGCTCTTGGCTGCGCGCAGCCCCTCCTCGGGATTAGTGGTCGGACTCCTCATTTCCCATCGCCATAAAAGGTCTTGAACTCAATTAATAGCTAATAATTATCCGGGCAGCTCCGCCCCAGCCGTCCTTAGCGGGGGAAGCGCAAACAAAGCCGGTGCGTAACCCGCGGGGGCTCCGCGCCCCCGGCCCCGCACCCTCCGCGGAGGGGGCTCAGCACCCCGGTCCGGCCGTACCCGGGGAAGGCGGAGGAGAATCGGGGCCTCCTCGAGTGTCCCCCCGTCGGGTTAGGGCAGCATCGCGCTGTGCTCCGGGGACCGACCCCGTGCACCCACAGGGAGAGGGGGTGAGGGGGCATCCCCCGCGGGCTCCTCAGGGAGCCCCAGGGGAGGGGAGTCACCCCCGGAGCGGGCGGTGTTCGCGGGGAGGGTTCCGATCCGATCTCTGGCAGGACAGCAAATGGCATTTTGGGGGGGCTGCGGTTCGCTCACACCCGCTCCGCTCTGCCCCCACAACACTTAATTACAGCGAGTCTCTCCCTGGCTCAGCCCGGTGCGGGCCTGGCTCGGGGCTGGCCCGAGAGGAGCGGGGGGGTCCCCCCGGCCAAAGGAACCCCTGTGCCGGTGCCGCGGGAGGATTAATGTACCCCAGCCCCGCTGGGTGCTGCAGCTCGCTGGAAGCTTTAAATTAGGGGAGTTCTGTTAATTCCGAGGGAAAAGGCGAGCACAGATCGCTGTAGTGCCTTTTAGTACGGTATTTCGGCTGAAAAATGCTTGATCGAAAATTACTTCCCCAGTACCTGTTTCCCAGGGTCACCTCCCGCAAGGAGAGAACCTTCCCCAAAGCCCCGGGCGAAGGAGAACGCCTGCCCTGAGACCGGGGATTTGAGCTCTTTCCATGACAAAACTGCCGAATTACAGCGCCCATCGTTTCCATTTTGCTTTCATTTGGCAAGCGATCTCCGGGCAAAAATATTTTGATCAAACGTCTAAAAAAATTGCTATAACTCCTTAATTTCCCTTCATTCCCGGAGACCGTCACGATTAAAACTGCTGTGTTTACATCCCCGAAACTGTCTGTTCATGGGCTGCCGTTTTGGAGACAACATGGCTCGATCTCTGACGGTTGTAATTATAATCCTGTTCAAGTTAGATATTCAAATGTAAATAGTGCTTTTCTTTTTTTTTTTTTTTTACGACTTATTTTAGGACGTGCATTTTTACCTTCGCCGGGGCCATCAAGGCGCAGCCTCGCGCGGTGGAGTGTAACGAATTCGGAAGAATTCTTAGAGCTGAACATGTTTTTTGAAAAATCTGAAATGGCAATTTACACGGTGTTTTCTCATGGCCAGAGGAGCCAGTGATTTCTTCTAGAAATAAGAAAGAAAAAATAGTCTCATAAGCTCATTTTGATGCACAGACCGGTTTCAGTGCAGAGGAATATCAGAGCGGTGAGGTACAGGACAGTGACGTGCAGGCACAGGTTCTGCAGCAATATTAACCTTTCCCCCCTGTATTTCATCGCTAAGAGGGCCAGTAAGAGTGATTTAATTTTTTTTTTTCGCTGTTCAAAATGCAGCCTTTTCTGTCTTTCTCAGCAGTGCTTGTTCCGGCGCTTCTCAAGGGTTTTCGGGTAAAATACTAATTTAAACCAATGAGTGTGTAAATAGGTCAGTTCAGGGAAGGAGCTGCCGGGGTCTGGCGGGTGGACGATGTGACTGCAGCACTGAGCCTCAGTCATCCCCACCTGCGTGTGAGCCCGGGAATGGAGCGGCATCGGGGGGGACCCTCAGAGTGGAGGGGGCCGCAGCCACCCTCAGAGAGTTTTAATTTTGTTGTTTTCATGTTTTTCGCCTCGCCCCGGCCTCCAGCAGAGCCGCTGCTGGGAACGCGAACCAACTGTCCCCGGCGGCGGCCCGGGGCGGAGGATGCTCGGCGGGGGCTCCCCCCGGACCCCCGGGGCTCCCGCCTGTCCTTAACCGCCCCCTTGCGCCGGCTCCACGCAGGGACCGCGTCCCAAAGGTGTTGGAATTCCTTGGCGGCGGGGGATGAGCGGCACACTGCTCCATGGCGTGGGTGCGAGGCAGTCCTTCATCCCCCCGTGGGTGCGCTTCCTCTGCTTATTAACGGCAGATTAGGAGGGAAAATCCCTCGGGAAGCGTGTGACATTCTCACCGCCTGATCTGCGCGGGGCTCGCTGGCCCCGCGGAGCGCAGCCCCATCCTGTGCCACCGGGCTCTTGCGTAGTTGAAAATATTAATTCTTGGTTTAATCCCGCCGCAACCGTGCGCGGGAACAAGGAGTGATTTATGCGAAAATCCTTGGGAAGGGGTTACTCGGGGTGTGCGGCAGCTCCCGGACAAGCCGGACTAGCGCAACCATTCTAATCTTCTTTACTGCTTAAAAACATTTGTGCAAAACAGCTCGCAAAGCGCCTTTCCCCTCTCCCGTGCCCCCGCTGCCCGTGGGTGCCCACGCAGCGCTTCTTCTGGAGCTCGTGTTCCAAGCTGGCCTTCTGAAGTACCTGGGAACACATGGCTTGTAGGGGAGATGCCAGGGAACCCACCCATAAATTCCCGCCGCTCCAGCGCCCCCTCCCCAGAGCTGCAGGGACCCCCCCGGGCTGGAGGGGCCGCGAGCTGAAATGTCCATGAGCGGGATGGAGGCGGAAAGAAGGGCGAGGGTGGAGGGGATAAACTCTGAACAGGCGCGTTTCGGTACCGCTCGCTCCCTTCAGGCTCCAGCACCACCAGACCCCCCCATCCTCAGCCCGGGCCGTGCCGCCGTTGGGGCACTGCGGGTCCCCTGACACGCGTGTGGTGCAGAGGGACGTGGCTGCTTCCTTCCCTGTTATTTCCTAGTTATTAAGTCTCGGTGGAAAATCGGCCGGGGGAATCGTTTTTCCCTTCAGCCATCCCCGGGGTGCCCCAGGCTCGCCGTGGGCAGAGTTCCTCGGGAAGTGGCGGAGCACTCGTGTCTCCAGGCCGGGCAGGGCCCCGGCTCCTTGGCAGCCACCCGGCTTGACCCGGGAGAGCTGAGAACCTTCCTGGCGCTTCCCCTTCCCTCCACGCTAATTAGTTTGCTCTTCCCCGTGGAAGCGACACGCACTCAAACAGGTGCAGGCTGGAAAAGCCGGTGCCCCTCGCGGGATGCTCACCCGGCGGGACAGGGGGGGCTTCGGGGATGCCGGGGGGCTGCGAGGCTCTCCCTGCCCGGGCCGCACACCTCTCTCCGGGTGTTTGCTGAACCCCAGAAGCCCCTCTCCTTCCATGGGTGTCTCAGTGCCGGGATGCTCAAGGCACCCGTGGAACGAGGAACAACCCCCGGTGGGCACAGGAGCACGTCCTGAGGTCCCCGGAGCACCCTGGCCACTGCCCCCGCCACCAGCCCTGCAGCCTCTCGAGCTGTTCTGGCTTAAAGCGAGCAGGAGAAACGGGGCCCGTTCCCGGGGACTGAACCGCAATCACCCGCCTATGCCTGGTGGGGGAAGGGACCCCACTCGTGTGGGGGGTGACAGCGTGTCCTCTCCCACACGCCCCGCAGCCCACCGCCGGCACACCCCGGCACCGGCCCTTCAGAATTCGTTCTCTAATTTTTTTTCTCACTTTTTTTTTCTCCCGCATTTTTATTTTAGGGCTTTTTTCCCCCCCCTCTGTTTTTCCCCCTTTCCCGGCCCAGCGAAGCACCACTCAGCCCGGCCCCGCTCCGTGCCCGCCGGTGGCCGCGGGAGCCCCGCTCCAGCCCGGCAGGAACGGCCACAGCGGCTCGGACAGAGCCGGCGAGGCCGCTTCGTGGTGGCTTCGTTGGCAGAAGCATCACCCAAACCGTAGTCGAATCCCCCCTACCCCTCGTGCACCCCCGAAAGCGTTTTGCGTCTCCCTAAATATCTGCGAGCGGGTCCGCTGGAGCTTGGCTATTTACCGCAGGAGCTGATTCCCGGGGGAATCGGAATGCTGGGGATGCAGAGGGGTTTGGCAAGAAAACAAAAGCCAGGGTTGTGCCGGGCTGGGGCTGCGGGGGGGGCACGGCCGCGGTCCCGGCCCGGTGCTCCGGGCCCTTCGTCCCGCGGCTCGGGGAGGGGGACGACCGGGGCATCCCCCCCTCGCCAGCCGTGGGTCTCCCGGCTTTACTCGGTCTTCTGCCAGAAGACCGCTGTAATAACAGGGACAAATAAACCGGGACGACGTTTTCAAAGTGAAATCCGTCCGCCCCAGGAGCAGCTCGGTGGGGGACGCGGGGACAGTGAGCGCCCAGGAGCGCTGGAAGAAATATTTCAATGGGTTGGAAACATTCGAGCTCCCGTTTCACCGGTGAGGCTGGGAAGAGCTTGTTTTTCCAACCTCGGGGTGCCCGCCGTGCCGTGGAACGGCGTCCTCGAGGCAGGAATTCACAGGCACCGCTTCGGCATTTTAGGCGACACGTGGCTCCGAGTTCCCTTCAAACGGATTTATTTTATTTGGCCTCCTGCTCCCCCACTCTGCCCTCGAACGCGGCTCCTCGGTAGCATCTGAAAGGCCCCCGCTCCTATTTGCAATTAAAGAGTTTATTGAGGAGGGGAAAACCGGTAATTAGCAGGAATATTCCCCCCTCCCCAGTTCCACCTGCAGGGCAGGAGTGCAGCTGGCGGAATGGCTTCCAGCAGGGACCTGACGCACCCACACAAGTTTTGCTTTGTTTCTGCGGTGCCCTTCTGTGCCAGGGCTCCCGGGTCTCCCCGGGATGGGTCCGCACCTCCAGCGCGGATGCCGCGCTCCCATCACCCCATTATTTTATGGAATGTTTAGGAAGGCGCGCGTTTCTCCCTCTCTCCATATTAATCTCATTAAATCCTACCTTTCAACCTTCTTCCGTGACCATCTGACCTGGCCACTTGAATTAAAATAGTGCTTTCTCCGCAGTCAAAGCCAGCACATCAATCACCGGCTATTTACACTTCGCTCCTCTCTTCAAAGCGGCTCTGCCCGGGCTCTCGCTACCTCCGCTCCGGGGGGGTGGGCAGGTCCTGCGGGGCTCCCCGACGCTCCGGGGGTGTCTGTCCTTCCTCTCCCCCCTTTTCTCGGGTGTCTCCCGGCTTCCCCCGTCCCCGGGGAGCGCTGCCCCGGCGCGCAGCTTTCCTTCCACCTGGAAGGCAGAGGGGAGCGGCCGCCCTCCCTCCCCGTCCCCTCCCGGCGGGGTGCGGGGCCCGGGGCCCTCCTGACGTGGGGGCCGCGGCCCGGGTCGAAACACCCGCAAACACCGACAACTCGAGCGGGGGAGAAGGAGCGGAGCTGCCGAGCGCCGAAACATTCTGGTAGAAACACGAGAAATACCGACAAAACACAACAGCGCAATTTCTGTTATTTTAAAAGTTATTATTCTTAAAGTTACGCAAACTCTCCCCCCTCCCCCGAGCCGAAGGGGGCGAGAAAGGAGAAGAGGGTTAAATTAAAAAAAAAGGGGAGGAAGAAAATAAAGACAAGACGGTGGTTGAAAAGTTACGTAAAAAAAATATTTTTCAGACTAAAAACAAAAGCATGTCTAAACTAACTACGGTTGCAAGATGACATCTGTTAAACTCTCTTCAGCATTGCTATTTAGTAGTAGTAATAATAGTAGTAATAATAATAATAATATAATGATAATCACCTCTTCCTAGGATGGCACCTTGATCCTTAAATATTGTCCAGTGTGTAAGGTCAGTGTGCGGAGGGTGAGGAGCGGAGAGGGCTGATTTTTCTTAAAGGGGCAGATCAGGGGAAGGCTGTGATGGGTGCTGGGAGAGAGGAGGGGGCAGAGATAAGTGGTCTAAGGAAGAGGATAGGACAAAAAAAAAAAAAAGGGGGGGAAAAAAAAAAAAAAAAAAAAAGCCCCAAACCAGCCTGATGATGATGAATACATTGGAAAGTTTTTTTGGCCCTGGTGAGGGTGTCAGATTGAATGCTCTGTGCGCATGTGCGAAGGTGTCCAAACTGACAATGCTGGGGAGATGAAGATAGTGTGTAGCTGCTTCTGGGCTCAAGGAGGAGGAGAGGAATCCACACGCCGACACGATGAGATCCAAGGCGAGGGCGAGAAAACTGCCCAAAAGTAGGTCCTTTCTCTCCCTTCTTCCGCGCGCCGGCGGCGGGGCCGGGGTTGCGGAGCCGGGCCGGGGGCTGCGGGGGCTGCGAGCCCCTCTCGCCCTCCCCGCGGCGGCCGCAGCCCCGCCGCCCTCCCGCCTGCCCGTGGGCGCGGGTCCCCCCGCGCTGCCCCGCTCCGCTCCGCGCTGCCCCGCGCCCTCCCGCGCCGCGGCGGGCGGCGCGGGGCCGGGGGAGAAAAGCGAAAGTTTAGCTGGAAGTTGACGAAAGGGGATAGCAACTTTTTTTTTTTTTTTTTTTTTTTTTTTTTTTTTATTGAGTCGTTCCAAGTCTTGTGAAATAATATTCCCGGGTCCTGAAATAGTGGGCGCTAGAGGTCTGCGTTTGGCATCTGCCGGCGGGAGCGGAGAGACGGAGCGCTGGAGAGAGGGGGGGAGAGAGACAGGCAGAGGCAGACGGGGCGGGGGTGGGAGAAACCCTTCTGGTCTCGGGAACAATTATCGAGCAGAGGGAAGGAAGAGAATTTGTAGCAAAAATGGATCCGCTCTCAGTGAGGGGCTTTGGAGTCGCAGGTCCAGAGGGAAGATCCTGAAGGCAGCTCGGGTGTCCCAGCTGGGGGTTAAGAAGGTCTGGGGGAGGGGAGTGTGGGGGAGTGTCTTTAATTTTTAATTTTTTAAAATTTACTTGGGGGTGGAATTGCAGCCCGTAAGTCTCGCGCAGCTTTTCCCTCCGTCTTCGAGCGGACCCTTTCCCGTTCTTTCGTTCGAGTCGTTTTTAGAATGGATTTTCCGAGGAGGAGAATGTGGCTTTTGTAGGGAAGAGCGGGACTTGTGTCCCCGCTCCCGCAGTCCCGTTGCAAAGGCTCGGGCTGGTTCCTCGCCGATTCCCTGTTAGGCTCGGTGCAGCGCAGGATCCCGCAGCCCGGGCAGCTCTTCTGTCCTTCTCTTGTATATTATTATTACTATATTATTATTATTACTACTACTACTACTATTATTACTATTATTATTATTTAGTTTCTGTTTCACTCTGGCTCTGGAGGCTGCAGAAGTTCCAGCGCAGTCCGTGCCCCGCTAGAAACTCTGCTCGTAGTGCCCGGAGGAGGCTCCGGGGAGTAGCGGCGGCTGGTCCGGTCGAACCCGCGTGGGTTTCCACGGGAGCCTCCCGGGGGATGCGGAGGCGCCCAGAGCCAGGCGGGGGGGGCTCCCCGCACCCCCCTCCATGAACCCCGGCGGGGGCCCCCCCAGGAGCGGGGGATCCCCCCAGGTGAGGGGGGCAGCTGGCGGCCCCGGCCCTGCCAGACACCCTTCGGCGTTCAGCTTCAAACCGTGGCTGGCGAAGGGTCGCGGGTGTTCGCAGCGCTCGCACACGTGGGCTCCGGGGTTCATTTTGTCATTCAAGTTCGTCATTCGGAGCCGTTTCCAGCGGCCAAGGTCAGCGGGCAGGTCTGGTCCTGGCCCCCCGCGATGAGCCGCAGTGCCCCCTTCCCGGGAGGGCTCCCCCGTTCCAGGGGGGACCCCGTTCTCCAAACCCAGCGCGGCTCCTCGCTCCAGTTTTCCTCACTAAGTCTCTTTGTCGCCGGTCCCGAGCTCCGGCCGCCGCTCCGGTTTTGCAGCAGCCCCAGGCCCTGTGATTTACCTTCGTGTAGCGACATTTTCCGCCGCGCTCCACGAAGGTCCCCCAGCTCCCCAACAGTGTCCATGTGCCCCCCGCACACCTTCCTCGGCTCTGCGAGCACCAGCCCTGCTCAGGGCGGGATTGGTCACGCTTTGCGTGGTCAACATTGTCAGCACATCGCTGTGACGAAGTTTTTTTCGATGAATTCTGGAATTTAATTTTATTTTTATTATTATTTTTCTATAAACACACGTTTTAAACGCCCCCGTTCAAATAGTAACTTTTTAAAAAGTCATCACTTACTGGTTTAGGATGTTAAAATGAAGAGTAATTTTCAGAGCTTTCTTGGCTGAAAAAGCAAAGTTGAATGGTTGAATAAAGCGGAACATTTCTTTTATTTTTATTTTTTATTTTCCTCTTACCTCTCCCCCTTTCTCTTTCTTTTTTTTTTTTTTTTTTTTTTTTGCTTCTGCAAAAGACACCGTGTGTTTGCAGATGTGCCCGGGGGGTGCAGTGCGGGGCCGGGTTTTTGCAGATGTGCCCCCGTGGGCGCGATGCGGGTCCGGCCGCGTTTCAGCGCGGGTGGGACCGGCCACGCTGCCCCGGCTCCCCCGGTGAGCTCTGCAGCTTTAGGGCTAAGAGGTTTTTGGTGCCTGGGTATCTTAAGTGCTCGGAGGAGAGCCGGGAGCTCCGTGCCCGGGGCGAGCCCTTCCCGGCCGCGGGAGCTGCGGCCCCGGGAGCCGCGGAGCGGCCGCGAACACGCCTGGAAAGCGCCTGTTCTGAGGCTGAGCCCTGATTAAAATCAGGTGTTTAATACAATACAAGGCCCAACGGTTTATGGGGTTTCAGCTGAGGATTTTTTAGGGATCACAGTTCAAAACAGTAGTCCGAAGCTAAGGTTTCAATATCCCAGGAGTATTTATTTGCGAAACAGATTAAACACGGACACGAGTGTTTCCACCGACGAGGCAGCGAGAACCTCGCTTACATCGTGGAACCCCGCAGGTCCCTCCCCAGATGGCCTTCGTGGGCTCTCCGGCCCCACGAGCGGGTGCGGGTGCCGTGAGAGCCCGCACGGCCCCCGGTGCGCGGCCGCCGAGCCGTGCGGGGCAGTAAAAACACGGTGTGCTGGAGAATTTCATTTCATTGGACAATATTTTAAGCAGATGTGAGGCTCCGCTGGGAATTCGACTCTATTACCTGGCTGGGAAAGGGGACGAACGCGTGTGCGCTGGGGTGGGAGAGGAATTCTCGGCAATTTTCAGTCCGACTCCCCGGGACAGCGGCAGGTACCGGAGGCAGCGGAGCTGAACTGGGGCCGGGAATGGTTTTCGCTCGCTTTGTGGCTTCCCTCTGGGATTGGGAGCCTCGAGTAATGGCTGTAAATGAAAAGACGAGGCTCGGTCAGGGTGCGGGAGGCGCAGCAGCCCCGGGGGTGCCCAGGTGAGCGGTGTCCCCGCAGCCCCCCGGGCTGCGCATCCCCCGCGGGCCGGGCTGTGCCCTGCGGCTCCGGGGGATGTGCGGGACGGGCAGGCAGGAGAAGGCCACGCCGCGTCCCTGCTCCGTGCGCCTCGCCCTTCAGCGAGAAAATAAAATATGGGTGAGTGGGGAGAAGGTCCTGCAGCGGCCGGGGGTCTCGCTGCTGCTGGCGAGAGGGTGCAGAGGAGGCAAACAACACAGGAGTTGGGTGCTGCACGTCAAAAGCAAATTCGTTTCCTTTCGAAATCCCTGCATTTCAGAGTACAGGTATAATTCCCAGCCACACGCGGCTGGGCAGGATCGTGCTGGCAAACGGTGGCCAATATTTCTATGGTCCCGTTTGCTTTTCACTATTAGGAATATGACCGAGGCAAAGTTTGGAGCCGGAGTTTTCAAGCAGAGCTGGTGCATCCTGCGGGCAGGCTGGAGTGGCGGGGAAATGGTTGTGAATCCAGCCCTGCGCTCTCCGGGACCTGCTTTTCGATTTAAGGCTTCGCCTTCGAAAAGGAGGCAGGCTTCCCGTTTACTGATATATATATACATGTATATCTATATCTAATTTTTTTTTAAATGAAGGGTGATGAGACTGTGGAGAGAAAGGGGACCGGGAGAGGAGCGAAGGCAGAGGCTGCAGCCCAAGCGCCACTTCCCGGCGTGCGGCTCTGTTTGTGCTCCCACAGACGGTTCCAACGCTGGAACACACGGAGGAGGAAAATTTATGGCGCTTTCGGCCGCTTAGGTTTTTTTTCCCCATTCCCAAGTCTGTTCTTGTGCCCAGTCCCTACTCAGAGCTCCGGGCCGCGAGGGCGGACACCGGCCCGGCTCCCCCGTCCCTCGGGAACCGGGAGCTCGCCGAGGCTCTCCCGGGCTCCTCTCCCTGGGACCGCCGCAGGTGCGGGGCCGCCGCCGGGTCCCCCCCCGTCCTGCCCCGGATCTGTTCAATTAGGCAATTAGGGATGCTGGGCAGGGAAGGGGGGGGAGGTTGATCCGCTAATTAAAGTGATGTGTAATTAGCGCTTCAACAAAAATCGCCGAGGATTTAAGATCGCTTTACTCTTAAAAAAAAAAAAAATTATCCGCATTCTGCAAATATAATTTATCAATTCCCCCACCCGGCCCGCGTGATTTATTTGGGAAAAAGCACAGAGGGAACGAGTGCAAAGCGCGTCCTTTCCTTGGCCTGGGCAGGAACTTGGCAAACGGGGGATCGAGCTGGTGCTTTGACGTGGGGACTGGCTGCTCTCGCCCGCAGAGCAGCAGCTTTGAGGTGCCAAAGTGCCAAAGGAGACGCAGGAATCGGGGATTGAGTCCTGGCCTGCGATAACGGCCGTGCTCGTGGGTGTCCGTGCCCCGGGATGAAGTGGCTGTGGTGTCTGTCCACGTGTGTTTACATCACAGGGCACTGCCGTGTGCGTGTGTAAATGTAAGTTTATAAAGTGCATCAAAGACAGGCACGTTATTCCGATTTCACTGAATTCCCGTGTCCTATAAAACCTCCATGTCGATGCAAAACGTGTCTGTGCAGATGCATTTGTCTGTCGAGCCGACAATGCACATACAGAGGTCTTACAACACACAGTAAAATCACAGGTACTCTATGGTCAGGAACCAGAATGTTATTTGCAGGAACTGGGCTGAATTTGTATTTTAAAAACTTAGTTTAACACCTAAAGCTGTTTCATTTTTTAGATTTTATGCTGGAGCCGCTCTGTCAGTTCAGTGGTAGCAAATGAGGTCTTTAATGAGCTAAAGGGAAAAAATAAAACAAACTTATTCCTGATGGTTGCTGTTAAAAATACCTGAGGAAGACAGCGAGGTCAGGAAAAGCAAAGAATTGCTCTTGTGCTCTCCACACGAACAGACACGGTCCGATGTTCAGCCACACGCTCCCAGGACCAGAGGACCCCGAAACGGGCAGGGTTGTGAGCTATCAGTCGGGAGACAGCCAAGCGTACCTGAGACAGGCACAATCTGCACTCCCGCCGGGGCAAAAAGCGAGGCAGGA